GAATCAGATAGAAAATGTACAGTGACACTAGAAAGTCTATTTCCTATCCCCAGCAAACATGTCAGAACTAGAGCAATTTTGCAAAGAAGAATGGAGAATTATGCCATCTCACTGTGCATCTTACTGAATTAAATAGATGAATACATCTGCAATCAGTAAATTTCATTTTGTTCACTTTGTATATTTTCTTTGTACAGTTCTTGACACTCAACGTCTTGTAGATATAACCGTGATTAGTTTAATCATTACACTTTAGAATATGAAACACAAGAAAGATCACAGGTCCTCACCACACATTTCATAAAATAAGTTAATACTTTATATACATAACTAACATACTGTAAAAATTAAGTATCTTATTCTCTGCTGCAGTTATAAAAGATGTTGGAGTTATTAACCATTGGAGTCTTGTTACATAATAAAAGCCTCTTATTCTCAGCAGGCACCTTGTTCTCTCTTGAGTTGTAAAATGGAAAGGAGTAGCTGCTGCATTCCTCAGCACACATGGTCCTTGATTTGATTTGAAAGGACAAACATCTGAGTTTCTTTGGGTAGGAAAAAGGCAAATTATAAATGTCCATGTTCTTCCATTTAATTAGACTGTTTCTTTATTTACTTGTAGTTTAATCCATTTGAAACGTCATGAGTTTAGCGTCACGCCCGGGCCGACGGCAGCTCACAGCCCTCGGTTTCCCTGGGAGACCGTAACATTCCCATGAGCAATCACAGTCCTCCTGTGGCTCTCAGGACCTTCTTTTGGTCCGACCTTCCCCCTACCCATCAGGCACCCAATCGTCTGATTACTCATTCCATCACGGTCCCCTGTATATTCCTGGAACGCCTTTGAGGAAGGTCTCCATCGTGGAGCTACTGTACCAGTGGTAGTACAGCTCTCTAGACAACTGCACTGGATGTACAGTACTAGCAAACTCAACTAGGATAGTCAATCTCAGATCCTGCCTGTGTCCCGGTGGCATCCTGTGCAGCCACATCAGCCTGATACCAGTTTTCAGACCTTCTCCTTTTCTGACCACTGTGACTCAAACAGCTGTATTGGCCTGTTAGTCAGCATTTCTTCTCCTCGCCACCTCCTCGGCTGCCTTCGGTGAGCTTCGGCCCCTCTGCCTTTGGGCACCTTCAAAGACCCACAGAACTACCCCAGCCCTAACACTTGGGTTTCAACCTGCAAAACCACGCCTGTTCCTTTTGTGCACAGCTGCACCGTAACATTTAGAAACTGTCTAAAGTCGTATGTGAAATGTGAAACAGGCAAACCTTGTTGCTACTATAAAGCCTAGGAATTCTAATTTTCTATCCCATTGTGCAGCTGAAGTGATGATGTCCAAGAACTGACTTGTTTATTACCCCGAAGAAAACTCTAGTATTCCAGCCATGTCCAAAAAAGAATAATCAGCTTCAATACATTTGTTTGAAGTGCAACCAAGATGTGTTACTGGAATTCTTTTCACTGATATTTATTCCTGTGGTGATGAGGAGTTTAAGGTGAAACAAAACTAAATCCAGATTATCAAAATATGCCATCAAACAGAGAGTATTAAGTACTTAAAGTAATAGTTTAAACCAGATGTGAAGTGCATAAATTCTAACCATTCATAAACATACATGTGGCATGCAATCACAATCCACTGTAATACAGGCAGTTATATGAGCTTGGCAGTTAAATATTTTAGTGAACTTCAGATCATGCTAATTTATAATCTGGAAAGTGTCCCATTGCAGTTGATTCTGTGCTGGTTACAGTAGCTGCAATGTGAAGGCTGTCAAAAATCATATTACAGGCAAATATTCATGTCTACATGTACAGTATATCAATAACTATATTACAAATTCTCATTTTACTCTTGGATAATGAGCTAACCATTACCATAAAGGTCAGTTTTACTAATAATTTTACTAATAATAATGTTTCGCTTTATGATATCTGTTGGAAAAAGGAAAAAAAACAGATGTAGAAGGCCTATCATCCAAAGCAATAAACCAGAGCAAATCTATCCATTTTGTTGGTCAGGCCAGTTGTATGTTCAGGACAATACACTAGTTTTAGCCAGGGGTGCACCTCAGTGCGGAGCTTTGGTGGGAATGAATTAAGTGGGTTGATTAGATAAGTGGGTCTTTATTAGATAAATATATAAAATCAAGCATTTTCTTATCTTGAAAATCATATATATTTAGGCAGTGTGTCTGTTTTTGGCTACCATTATTCCTGTTTAGTTTGCTGCTCTAAACTGCAATGAAAATTGCAATGAGAGAGAAAAACGTGGAACAGAATCAGTGAACATAAATGTCTAATAACATTTTACATTTCTAATACAGTGTAATAGCAACAGATGGAACACGACAACTAAACGTGTATTTAGTTTTAAACTGCAAAAATACAAACTTTAAACTTTAATAAAATGCATCAAGTCAAACATGAGCACCAGTTCTTCTTCTCCCTCCTGTTTTTCCTTAAATATCACATTTGATGCTCTCTTCTCCTCCTTGTATGGCCATAAACCTACCAAAGCATTTTAAGACCCTCACCCCACCTTCAGTACATATTCCAGCCCATCTGTCATTTTACAGGCCAGCATCAGACCTCTCTTAAAATGCCCACCTTTGATCCCTTATCGCATTAGAACTATTGTACTCTCTAAGCCCTCTGATAGGCTGGAGGGCTGCTAGCCCTGCATTTTCCTCTTCAAGTTATCGCTGCTTGGCTCACTCCAGTCTGGCTTTTGTTTGGCAGTCTGGCACACACTCAACTACGTATGATCAGCATGTTTTCAGGTATCACTCGGTTAACTGACAAGGCTTGCTTTCTGCTTTGTATCCTCCAAGGCTCTGTCCTGGGTTCCCTATCCATTTTTATGCTGAAGATGCTCAGATCTCTTTTCCCCCCTATGATATTCAGGTCTCCTGTTATCTGCTTGTCGTGCAGTCAACTCCTCTCGGATGCAGTATCATCATTTAAAATTCAGCCTCTTAAAGCCTGATCTCCTTTTTCTCCCTCCTCTATGAACCTCTCTTGCTTCTTTTGACTCCACAACCCTCTGCTCTTCCTCCTGCCAACCACCTCTGTGTCACTCTTGACAAGTGCCTTGCCTATACCCAGCACGCGTTTTCATTCACACCTGTATGCCTGTGCTGCTCTACTAAACCAACACTCGCAGAATCTGCCCCTTCCTTACCAACTACTAAACAGAACTTTAAGACCAAGCTCTGTTATGTCCCACCAAGATTGGCCAGCTTCCATGCCAGAACTAGCCACCCACTCCAACTCATCCAACATTTTCCTTCTAACCTTGTCTTTTCCTTTGATACTCTTACTATAGTCCCAACACTGGCTCCCTGTTGCCAGTCACATCTGATTCAAAACTCCTGTTCTCATCTACCACTGTTTCAGCCTACCTGCTTCTGCCTTAATTCCATCACATCTTACATCCCTGCTCAGTCCTTGTCCATTTTTCAGTGCCTACTCAAGACTGATCCTACTCAAGAGTGCACCTGTAATCTATCAGCTCTCTAAAAGTTATGTTCTTCACTCACTTTTAAGTAGTAGTGCACTAATATTCTCTACTTTCAAACTAGTAAATTTGTTGTGTTTAATGCACCTATTAACAGAAAACATGGCATACAGTGCATACTGTATATTACGCTGTTTTAATTAGTTTTGTATGAACACTATCTGTATTCTATTTTAATTCTTACCAATCAATTCCCTTCACAATACTAACATTTCACTTCCACCTTGTGCTAACCTTGTTGTCATTTAGTTTATATAATTGTACTTAGGTGAGTGTCCCTAATCCTTACTTCATGTAACATACATGTACAGTGTATATACAGTTAGTTTCAAAATGAAATTAAACACACTGCTCCTGAAATAAAACCTAAATTCCCTGTTTATATTTTGATCTCCTGAAATATTTGAATTCTTGTTAATATTGACTAAGCCCATACATAACACTGACGTTAGGTTTTGATGTGTTTTGGGTTCTTAAAAGAGTCACCAAAGACTAATTATACAAAATGAAATAGCTGAATTCCTTTGGAGATGGGAGAGTCTCCTCAAAAGATGCAAAAATGGAAGCATTATAAAAAATGTACAGTACATTACAATCTGTTTTCTTCGGTGGTTACATAAATAACCTTATTTTTAAATATTGTAAAACCCAGAACACAGACACATCATACATAAGCCTTTATGTACAGAGAACAGGCCTCTTATCTACTGGTTGTCACCATAAGGAAACAATGCAGGAGCTGTATTTTTAATTAAATGCCCCATTTTGTGGTTTTAGGGAAGCTATTCCCAAAGCAATTTCCATCTGCAGGGAATAGGGTAGCTGTTTGTACCCATCTGTGGCAGGCCTCCTAATTGCATGCTTGACAATTGAGATGTAATAAGAACACTGCTCTTTGCTTCGTTACAGCTAATTAATCTTTCCAAAGCAGGGGTTATTTTTAATTTCTGAAACATAAGAAAGGTCACTGAACCATCTACACTGAACATGTGGTTAAAACTGGTGTGGATGGTGTGTTCTTGGGTATGTCATAAAAGTCAGCACACTGCAATCTGGTACTTCAGAAAGATACAGTAATACTAAATTGTGGGAATTGTTAAATACTGTATCTGTAGGATGAAAGTTCATAATGTTGTTTTCCCCATCGAAAACAAATTGCACTGCCTTTAAACTGTGACAGTTTTAAATATTTGAAGTATTTTAATATAAGGTTTTAGACTGCATGAAAACTGAACTCATATTTTAAAAAGAAATTAAAAACACATCTCTATTTTAACATATAAGACACATGTTATTTCATCTGATTCCACATTCACTTAGCTGGTATTGGTAGCTGGATGTAGAGTTAGTCCTTTGTTGTGGATAGCTAATTTAACAGTCCTCAGAAATTCACATCACTAATGGTAATCTTTTACATTCAAACAAGAACTTTTTTTGTACAGTACATTGTTTCACAGTAGCTTAGTTACTTACAGCTAGATCATCACTGAAATCAATTTCATCCAAATCCAAATATTCAGGGGCATCCATGGTTTCTCTGCAGAAACATCATGTGAAGTCAGACTCCTGGTACACCGTGGACCTGAGGATGAAAAGAATGTCATCTCAGTTGTTAAGAAAGTACACACATGTGTAAAGTTGATGTTTACAACTGTTTATAAAAGGTATGTATAGTATTCTGTGATGTTTACAGCAGTAAAATAAAAAATAAAAATAAAAGTAACAGTGACAAGCTACCCATGCTCCTTAAAACTACTAAAAAGAAAACACCAGCTTTTTGTACTACTTACGTACGTGGAATAAATGTGCTTTATTCAGATATACAGAAAGACTTATTTAATCTAAAAACATCAATACCTTTGAATTTTTGGTGTTTTATATTAAATGTAAAAAAGTAAATGTCAATTAAAAGAATCTCAAAGGAACATTAGGTCTCGCTCAGCTTGTATGGAAGTTATGAAACTTACGTTAGGTTAGACAATAATATAATTTTAAAGAATATCTAGAATAAAGAATACATTTTTAAAGGACAAAGGAATATATCGAATGTGCAAATACTGTATCTCCCTGCCACACTAGGAGAACACATTCCCTTAATCTCCTTACACCACATAATGCTTTTAGCTGTGCGGCTCGGTTCAGTGCAAACTTGAGGCAGTCCTTACAGTGCTGCTGCCCTCCTGTGTTCCAGGAAGACCCAGGAGTCCAGATGCCTGATTGATGTAGTCAGCCACCCCCTTTCCCTAGGGACCACTGCCTTGACATTCTGAAGTCAATGGTCAGATGTAAAGGCACACATGTCTTACATGAGGTACAGAACTTGCCAGGTTTTTTATCTGTTCTTGCAATCCCTCAGCCTCCAATATACGGTACACTCCCGGCGACTAAATATGTATTCTACTAGAATGTCTTTTTTTTCACTATTTCAACTGGTTTGGTTGGCAAATAAATCATCCCTTTCTTAATATTTGCTTTTGTAGAATTGTATGAAATGTGCTCCCTAAAACTGTGGTATCCCCTCCTTAATACCCTATTGCTTATTATAAATTACACTCTTCAGCTGCCTACATCTAATCATGTAGCAATCCGTTAATTATTACATGATTCAGATACATAACAGAGCTGAGAAAACTTATGGCCTAGTCATTTTTTGCTTTTTTCTGATGCCTATTTCTTTTTTTTAATTTATGTCAAAAAGGTTATTTAGTTGAGAGTTTTTAAAGTGAGAAAATGTGTAGACATGCTATTTGATTTATTCAATGCTTGATTTCTTAAAGTTCAATGCAAGATTATATAAACCAAGCTTTTAACTTTATTCTTCACAAATTGCTACCTGTGAATTGAAGCACCAAGAGTCTTGACTGATTTTCTTCTTTATCAAAGTCACTTGTGGATGAATTCTTTCACAGTTGTTTGTTTTGTTTTGTTTGAGCTGAGCATGCAACATACAGTACTTCAGGTTTTAAGCTTTATAGGTCATGAGAATGTATAGAGATATTTCACAATAGGAAAGTGTTTTGCAATATTACACCAGGAGGTAAAAAAAAACAAGATCTTACTTTGTAATGAGTTATTAACCCTTAACCTGTTAAGAGTAAAGAATGTACTAAGCTTGATTTTTCCTTCACTGTGTTTTCCTGCTGTACATTCACCTTGTACTGTATGTAAAACATTCTGAGGTGTTGCTCACCAAGAAAAGGCAGTCCATAAACTGAAAATTTTTTTTATTGGAAAAAATGAAGGAAAAATTACAAATGAGATTAATTTATCCAAAAATACAGACTTGAAAACCTCACAATCTTTAACACAATCCCTTTTTACGTTTTTACTTAAAAATAGTTAATTGACTAATTAATGTAATTAGTTTTGTAAAAGCAAAGTATTATTAAACACAATCTTTATATTTTCTAAGAATCTTATGTGCAAACAAATCAAATTTATTACCTTTAAATGAAATAATAAGATATGGAATTGGTCAAAACTTGGAATTATTTTGAAGATTAAGATAATTACAAAAAACACAAAACTGAAGATTATTTGTGGGACTTCAGTAAAACGTTCGATGTACATTACAGAAACTTTAACATAAGTTTGTTATTTAACATAAAATATTGCACAAGAATTGATTACTGATAGCTGGCGAGTAAAGAATTATTAATAAAATAAAGCATTTATTGATAAAATATATACACAAATATAAATTCTGTTAAGTTCTGAGCTGGGATGGATGAATGTTTTTTTTTACACATAAAAAACACATTTCGCAAACTGGTTGAATATAAAACTTTAAAGATAAAACCCACGCATCACAGTAATACAACACATTTTCACAGACTGTATAGGGCATTTGTGATAAGAAAAATAGGCTGCGCAAAAGGGTTTCAGACAACATAGGTACTGAAGTTACAAGGGCACTGCAGTTTTAAGTAAGGGTAAGCCACTTGGTCAGCTATCAAGATAAAGAATGAGTTACAGTAATAATTTCTTAATATAGAACAGATCTACTGTATTACTGACATACAATGTGAAAGCTACTCTGTAAAAGCTCAAAATGTATGAAACTGACTGGAATATGACCAAGGACAAAAACCTTTTACAGGTTAATTTGTTAAAGACTTAATTGAAAATATTATAGTAAAGAGCACAACAGAAACCTAATATGTAAAAGTGTCTTAGGGATTACCGTTTAAAAAATAATTAAAAGAATCAAAGTATGACATAAACAGTTGTTCTCACAGAAGATCCCTGAAAATAAAATGAACATACCCTACGACATATGTGTCTTCATGGTGTATTATTCAAAAGTACTGAAATAAGAAATTCTCCTGAAAATGACTTAATGAAATATATCGAGCACCTATGCGGGTTATGTTTAAGCTTCATGTGCCAGAAGCAGAATATTCTTCTCTACTTGTATTTGCTGCCTAAATAAGTAAATATGTACTCTTATTTTCCATTGTCTTTCTCTTTATTGAGAGCCGAGTCTGAGACATTGCTTGCATATTGTCTATTTCAAAATGTGTCCCTGTAATTTGGAACACTGATCCAATTAAACAGTGTCTGCAATCCAGGACAGTACCTTTTACTCTTCGAAAGGATCTATAATCAATTATTTTTATTGTTAAACAAAAACAAAAGAAGTGACATGCTTGTCTGCAAAATGCCTCTTTGAAAGCACACTTCTCATCCTGCTGATGAACACATAATCTTCCTTGTCCCATACTGTTTCCATCATGTTGGCACTGATATACAGTATGTACTGTATGTGTCCAGAACAGGTACTGATTTCTGTTATAGAGCAGCAGCACAAATCATATTTATTCATCACCCTGCTCACTCTGCGTATGGTGACCTGAGTACAGTGGCTAGTTGTTCCTTTGCCTTGTTCAATTTTAAAAAACATAACGGTCTCAGAACAGTCCTCGTTTTGTAGCTCATAGCAATGAAAATGAAAGGACTGAGAGCAGAATAGGCAGAAGACAGTATGGCAAGCAGCACTGGAAAAAAATAATAAGAACCCAACTTGTCTAGGAACTGCAGCAGAGTATAATGGGAAACCCACAGACCACACACAAGAAACATCAGAGGCAAAACAAGTTTGGAAGCCATGAAAACCTCACTCTCTGATTTGTCTTCACCAATCCAGATGTCTCCATAACTTGCAACACGATATTCTCTCAAAAGCAACACAATCCGCACGCAAACAAGGAACAAAACCGTCAGTGGCAACACATCTACGACAGTTAAAACAACCACACCATACAGGAGCTGTACCTCAGAGTTAGAATATTTCACTTGACATGCAACGTGAGTCCAGTTTCTGTTATCAGTCACATTGTGTAAACTCTCTCCTTTCTCAACAAAGAATAAGAGAGGGCAGCTTACTCCAACTGCAGTGGCCCACAGCACTGCCATAACAAAGCAAAGCACTGCGTTCCTGTTCACACTGGGTGTTGCAGTTAAAGGATGAACGACCCGGTTGAGCCTGATAACATAGAACAATGCCACAAAGAGAGTAAACCAGATGGCAAGCATGTCGGTGAAGGTAGAGGTGAATGTGATAATCTTGCAGCCAGCTGTATTGAATATCTCCACATTTCCGGCAATGGAAACAATGCTTAGCAAGTTCACAACCAAGATCCTGGTCAAGTGAATGAGAGCGGTGTTCAGGAGCAGCATGCATGACGTTCTCTGTCGCTGGGCTAAGTATTTCCATGTACCAAGAAGCAGGATTGAGTTACCCACAAAGCCAATCAAGCCTAGGACAAGGTAAGCAATCCATTCTGTATCACTTGATAAAATTGGCATCCTATTAAAATAATTCATGCTTTTCGGCATGGGAAATTAAATATATGCATTGCATATATATACATAAGCACTTTAAGTTACATATACTGAACATTCATATGTTCTCAAGCAACGCACTTCATCTCGTCATACCACATGAATAAATCCTCTGCTAGTTCCCTGTGTTGTTTTGCTAGAAGCGTTCCTGGTAAAAAAAAACAAATCTGAACAGTAAACAATTAAAACCCCTCCTGCTCCAATGAACACTAGAGCGTAAATCTCAGGAGTCATTAATCAAAAGCAAAGTCATTAAGAACCACTTTATTACACATTAGAACACAGAGGATTTTAGAAGATTCCTGGTACAAAAAGGTTTTCTTCAGCATGTGACATATTATATCTTACACATTAGGACATAGTAATATTAATTTAAATTTAATTTATAGGTTCTTGTTATACGCAGAAGACAACGTCTCAGTGGATACTGAAAATGCCTTAGTTGCCAGCTCTACAAGACTTCAGCAAAGCATGAAAACAATAACCCTATTTTACATATCCGATTTAATCAAAGTATGTTTTGAAAAAGGATAACGACTAATATTGTAATGCAGCTTTTTGTAGTCAGACTTCAATCCAGTACAAAACTTGTGCAAAATAACATCTTATTTAAATAACCGTCTCATTTTAATATAACTTCAGATACTTAAATTACACAGAAAATGTTTGATTGCAAACAGGCCACTAACATCATTCATTAGATCATTAAACCACACTGCCAAAACATAACTAATAACGAGAACCAAGCTAAATAGTATATTTCCCTTGCTTAATTTGAAAGGGACATGGTGAACATTAACAACAATAACAGCAGAACTGATTTTGAAGAAGTATTATTTTTCTAGATTTCAAAATGGAAGTAGTTTACAATCCGTAGATGAGTATACTATACTGTAGCTTCATCCGCTGCTATACCATGAACTGTACAACATGCACACAAACAAAATGGTCTTGGAGGTACATGATCAGGTTTTACTGGATCATTCCAGATATGCAAAACTTAACCCCTATCTTGTTTTTTTTATTATACTGTATATTGAAAGAATTTATCTACATCTGATCTGAAATTAATACACAAATTCCACTGAAAAAGTTCATGAGGGATGATGGACCAGACACATAGAACACAGAACTACAACTTTACATGCTCTTGCAGGTGTTTTTGCTACCTGGTTTTATCAGTTTTCAGGTAAGCAATTCCCATTTATTGACAGCTTTCCACAACTTTAGGAATAGCTACACAACCATAAACTCAAGAGCTCCACAAACAAGCTCAGGATATTATTAAAATGTAGCTGTAACAGCACATGACGTGTTTTGACCAAAAGAGAATGAGCTCTTTTCATATAAAATAGTTATTGTAATATCCAAATTGATTCTTTAACATTGTAAGTGAACTTCTACTGCCCTGTTATAAGACCCTGTCTTTATTTAATGTGGAAATGTGATGGTTGGTGTATTAAAAAACGTTTTTATTGCCTGACCTGTCACACTCCTGGAAACAGTCATCAGAAGGACAGCAGTATATCAACGGGTAATATAACAGAGAATGAAAACGGAATATTTTCATGGCTGGATCCTTTTGGAATTTGTCCATTGCTTCATGTTTGCGATATTTCCGTTATAAATATAACTTATTTTGTAGTTTAAATTAATCAAAGTATATATTTCACTATATACTCTCTAGGTGATTAATATATATATATGTTATACATAAACAATTACGATTTAATTTAAATCAGTTGATCTCTAGCAGCCGTTTGTATGGAACCAGTGAATGAAAGAGATTTTGCAATCATTTTACTTCCACTGCTGCATAAATGAATCACCAAGTAACTGAAACTTTATATTCAATCTTTGAAGTTAATAGGTTCAATATAATTATATATTTTGATTTTTTTTGTTTGGTTTCTAACCACAAAATGGCAGATAGCATTGGAAATACGGTGCAATTAAATTTACAAAAAAGGTAATGAACTTCAAAAAGGTTTCTGTACTGTAAGCTTTTATGTTTCATTTTATTTTCTAACAAAATTGGCTTCCTTTGAAAGCTGACCCTTTCATTTTTCTGCTGTCTAAAAATACCATCACCCTAAACAGACCGCAAGTGGCAAAGTCAGAAAGCAGACATCCCTAAAACAGCTACAGTATTTAAGTATTTGCCGTTATTTGGAATACAGCCATATACAGTGCAGTCCATTCGTATTTGGGCAGTGACAATTTGTGCTGTTTTGGCTCTGTACTCCAGCACATTGGATTTGAAATAAACAATGGCTATGAGGTTAAAGTGCAGAATGTCAGCTTTAATTCGAGGGTATTTATGCCTATATTAGGTAAACCATATGGGAATCACAACCCTTTTTATCCCCCCATTTCATGGGACCAGGTCATTGTCCTGCTGCGAGGTGAAGTGCCAATGCGTTTTGAAGCATTTGGTTGGATCTGAGCAGATAAGATGCTAGATTTCAATGTGCTGGAATACAGAGCCAAAACAACAAAAATTTTGTCACTCTCCAAATACTTACGGACTACACTGTATAGAATAAGATTACAAATGGCAGGAGCTCAATTTGCTTCTTAGGCTGCTGGTAGTATAATGCATTATATCAGAAAATATCATCAAAGCACCTATCAACACTGTCATGATGATATATTATTTTATTACTACTATTAATTTACTTAACAGATACACTTATCCAGGTCAACCTACAATATGGACAAATAATTTTAGATACACAGACAAATAGTGCAGGTAAAAAGGGAAAAAAATAAAACAACAAAATGTTAACACAAAGTATTTTCCAGAGTCAACAATGTGACTAAGAAGCATGCAGGGAAGCAATTAAAAAGGCAAACAAAATGTTAGACTAGTTTACCAACTATACCAGGACCTATAGTAGATTACTGATAAAATGAGGAAGAGCAGTGGTCCTAATACAGATCCCTGTGGCACTCCACTAAATGTAACATCCCAGTTGGAGTATTCAACGTCTTATCTGAACTCTCCTTCTTCTACTCTTTAATCATTTCAAATCAGCACATTACCTTGAAAGCCCAGTATCTGCAATTTGAAAATCTATCTTTTATGAGGATCTTTAAAAGATTTGGAAAAACAAAATACACCAAGTATGCACATCAGAGAGAACAGTCCTAACAAATCCTACTTTAGGTTATAAAATATCATAGCACTAACATTTTATGATGAGTTAAAAAAAGAGAAATAGTGTGCTTATAACAATATGGTATTCAGACAAGGAAATATATCATATACAGTATATGTATTAATAATGTGACAGGTGAACAAAAAATTATCACTCTCATTCAGTCAGACCATGGGAATTAGTTATCAGTCATATGTATTTCTACCCAATGTATAAAGTGCTCCTAGTCTGTTAACTAACCCTCTGAAATAAACATGGGTTTCGGACAGAGACAAAGACAGGCTGGCTCTCATGTACTGTATCATGTGGGAGTAATCAATACTACTAGCTGATGTAACTGTGAGAAATGGATACAGAAGAGGTGACTTAAGGAGTGGGGTAGATGCTACTTTAAAGGGAATTCCAATAATTTGCCCCCTTACACATGCTTTAAAGTGCTAAATGTCACTTAAAACAACAGAAACCTACTATTAACGTGTTAGCTGCAAATCAAGATAGGCTGTATTTCATAATGTTACATCAGTTTAAATTCACATGTTGTTGCTCCCACTGGTAATGAGAAAACCGTCTTTAATCAAATCCCAGTACATTTCACAGGCTATATCAATATATGATAATACTAATTTCAGTTCATCAAAACAGCATGCCTGACTGCAACTGATGCAGCCATCTAGAATGTGTATGAAATTTACGTCAGCAGAAAGCACACTGCAGTAAACTACAGTCCTGTCCAGCATGGTGCTTTCAGCGCTCAAAACAGATTGATAGGTGGCACTTGTGTTGCATGAGATGTTACTGAAAGTGTAGCTTCATTTAATCTCGTTTTTCTTAGTCAAATAATTATATTTCTTGAAAATACAACATATTTTACATGTTATGTAAACATATAAAATATATAACCTAGCTACATTTTTAAAATGTAACATGGCTCTAGAGTGTTTTCTTCTGAAAACGAGATGAAATGCCACGCATGGAGCCTGGATTGAACCTTGATTTTTTAATGTGCCTGGTGTCCCGGTGTCATTCTCCAAAAACAAGGAGTTTCATGGAGTGCCCATAAACTAATCAGAACAACTGAAATTAATTCTATTGCAATTTGCTGAAATATGGTTGCGGTAACGTATGCACCGCTTGACAAATGTTAAGATTATTTTATTGACTGCAAAAGGCTCGCAAAACAGTGATGCAAAGAATGGCATCTAGATGAAGGCAGCCTGCAATAATGGTGACAGTAATACTGTAGTTGATGTACAGTATGAAAAGACATAAACATGGTTGCAAATTTATTGAATTCTATTTAAATATTATATTAAAATGTCTTGAGCGGTGCTTACAGTACCTCAAGAATGTAATGTACATAACGAGCATTAACATGTTTATATTCATGCACACATAATGGTGTCATATTAAAAAAATCGAATCTAATCTTATTGACTTTGGCAAAATGCCTTTTCAGTCAGTCATATTCCATCAATGGTTAGGGATGGAGGACACAAAATCACATTCCTCTGGGTACTCTACAATCCAATGGCACTGATAATTTGATTGGTTTCTGGGGAAACTGGCTCTGATGTGAGCGTGTACATGTTAATGTCCGAGCATGAACCCTGTGATGGACTGGGGTCCCGTCCACCTTGGGCCCACTGCTTCTGGGATAGGTTCCAGCGCCCCCTGTGACCCTGTACTGGATAAAGTGGTTAGGAAAGAGACGGACATTAACATGTACTTGTTTATAACAAAACCTTCCATACGGAAACCTGGAATAGTAGCCATAAGAGAATAATACTTTTTACTTCTATTTTT